CAGTACTCCAGCTGCAGCCTGACCAGTGTCGCATAGATGAGGAGGATCACCTCCTTGGATCTACTTGAGATGCATCTGTGGATGTATGACAAGGTCTGGTTGGCCTTCCTGACTGCATCCCCACACTGCCGGCCCATGTTCATCTTGGAGTCAATGATGACTCCAAGATCCTTTTCTGCCTCTGTGCTGACAAGAGGGGAATTCCCCAACCTGTAGGTATGCTGCTGGTTCCTCCTCCCCAGGTGCAGCACCTTGCACTTGTCAGTGTTGAAACCCATCCTGTTCTCATCTGCCCACCTCTGTAACTCATCTAGATCCAATTGCAGCCTATTCCTCCCATCTAGTGTGCCCACATCCCCCCACATCTTAGTGTCATCAGCAGATTTAAACAGGGTGCTTTTTACCCCCTCGTCCAAGTCACTAATGAAGATGTTGAACAGCGTAGGCCTGAGGACCGAGCCCTGGGGGACCCCACTGCTCACATCCCTCCAGGTCCCTCCACCGCCACTCTCTTAGTACCCACATCATTAGTACCCACCCTCCTAGCATCCTGTCTGAGATGATCGTAGCATGTACTACTGATCAGTAACACAGCATTCTTCATAGTTGGATCATGACATATTTACAAAGGAGGTCATTGTCCACATTTTGGAAGCAGGGAGGCTGAAAGATTAAGTGTCTCATTGAGTGGCACCCAGCAAGTCTGAAGGAGGCATCCTGAGTCTCAGTCCTGTGCCCTGTCCACTAGACCTCTGGATAAGCAGCAGTTGTTTATACACTTGAAAACAAATGTCAAAAATGTCTCCCTGCTGAAAACCAGAAGCTTAGAGGTATGTTTCCACCCTTTCTTCAATGACTGACACATCTATCATTTGAATAAGTACTATAATTAAATTTATTTCCCTCTAAAACTCCACTTTTGGTGTTACTCAAGAACTTCATAGGCTCTGTGGTAGCTTCTGCAGAAGGGTGAAATCCAGCCCTACTAATTCTTATATGTAAAACACTAGGTTTCTCTTAACTTGTTACCACAAGAGATTTTGAACTATAAACCTTGGCAACAATAACTTTGTACTCACCAACACAGTTGGGTGGGAAGAAATTGAGTCTTATCCTAGGTTCACAGACAACACTGGAGGGGTCTTTTGCACTGCAATCAGGTCTTGACAGTAGACTGAGGCAGGCAGATGAGCCTTGGCCTAATGGAAAGCAACCAGTGCTGGGGCAACTTAGAGTTCTTGGAGTTTGCTAAAATAGACTGTGCTTTGTATGAACATTCTGGTATGTTGATGAGAGAGTGAAACACTCTGGCCAGTGCATTTTATTCTCTGGTTTGGTATAATGGGCAGAACAGAATACGTAACAATGCAAACATGGGCTTGCCTGCCAATAGTCAGCCTGGGTAGTGGGTGAGGAAGCAATACTAACCATCACTGTGTTTCTGTCTTGCTTGTAGGTCAGCCCTTCAAGCTGGACCCCAAGATGACTCACAAAAAGCTGAAAATCTCCAACGATGGGCTGCAAATGGAGAAAGATGAGAGCTCCTTGAAAAAGAGCCACACGCCTGAGAGGTTCAGTGGTACTGGATGCTATGGTGCAGTGGGCAACGTATTCATCGACAGTGGGTGCCACTACTGGGAGGTGGTGGTGGGCTCCTCAACCTGGTAAGTAGATCTTCCTGTTCCATGCCCCTTCTACAAGCAGAGGGACACCCTGGCGTACATATTCCTGGAGTGCAGCAGGCTTCAGCCTCTTCACCTCCTGCTCCAGAACCTTGTGTTGAGGTTCTAGCTGCACTGCTCCCCATACTTCATTTATGCACTCCCCATCCATGGCCCCACCATGTCCTAACAACTTCTGGTCAACCTCCTCCTGGCCCTGGCTAACTTCACAATATAGCCGACAGGGAAGGAGGCTTTGGCTGTAAGAACCCCTGGAGACTGCAGGGCTGTTTTCATGTCCCTCGTCCATTCACATCTCTGGAAGGAGTTTCACTGGGCAGTGCCCACTGTCTCCTTGGACTCATTCAAGGGCTAATGGGCACTGTCTGGTGTTTTCTGCTCGGTGTCCCCCATTAGTGCACTTGTTATAAACCTATGATCCTTGCTCCTTTTCCCTGTTTTTATCTTGTTTGTCTCAAGGAATCAGTCGTTATGTCTTCAGTGATCTCCTTCCTAAGGGAGGATTATAGTTTTCCTTGGTGGGCCCATGCCCAATGGCACAACAAATAGGCCTGTTCCCTTCCCGCCCCCCTCCCCTTGTCCTTGTCCTAACACATCTTCAGGAGTATTATCAGTACTAAGGAAACCCTTGTATCCAAGTTCCTGTAGAAATATGAAAGCAACCTGGCAATATTGCCATAAGGCTAAAAGAGGATCCATAGTTTTTCCCACCCAGGGACTCTCAGGTCAGGTATACTCGGATTGCAAAGCAAAGCATTTCTGTTTTTAGATTGCTGGTGCTGAACTCCTGTCTCAATGCATTTTTCCCCGCTTGAAAAGATCTTCCCAGAAGAACTCAGTGGGCTATTTTAGGTGATCCACAAAGCAAGGTGGTTGCCAGCTTCCTGTCCTACAGCTGTGCCAGCTCCTCAGGACTTGAGCGTAAAGGCTTATTTGCCTTCGTAACCTCTGTTGTTTTGACTGAGATATAAGGAGGAAAATGGTGCTGCTGATCTGCCCCTAGACATGTTGTTGCTACCCAAGCAGTGTTACATGAGCCCCAGTTTTTTACTTTGGGCAACCATGACCTTCTGCTGTTCACATAGCTGGCTAAATTTCCTTCATATGTTTTCATTTTGTTTGCCTTAGCATAGCCTCCAGAGGATTGATTTCTCACTACCCTTCTCTGAAGCGACCCATGACAGCAAGCATAGCTCTGCTTTCCATGGGACCAACCTTTAAGGATTGCTCTGGGGCTGTAACCCCCCACAGCAATCCTTAAAGGGATTTAATCCTTAATGGGATTAAATCCTTAAAGGGATCAACGGTCCCTTGTATTGTTTTTACTCAGAGTTTTTCTGACACTGGCACATGTGACTTTTCTGTATATGCTGCATTAATTCACAAAGCTAAATCCAGGTACAGGCACTTCCTACCCTAGCCTTCTGCTAGTGGAACAAATGTGAGAGCACAGGCTGCAGAAATCTGTTCAAGGCACCTTGTGAAGCTTGGCAGCAATAAATTGTTGTCCCCTCTTCTAGTGCACCAGGCATTCCTTCCAAGCATAGTTCAGGAGTAGCACAGCTTAATTGTCATGGTTTAAAAGTCACTCTGGGAAGTAGAAAATACAGCACTGAGGATTTGAAGTTAATAGAGAATGGAGCATCATTTTTGAGCAGCAGCACAAGTGGAGTGCAGGATAATATGGAATGCAACTCGTACTTAAGTAGGTATCCTCAGGAATGCTTAGAATAATATAGACTGAAGCAGTGATCCTGGTAGTGTCACAGGGGACCATACAGGGAGGGTGGTATGATATTTGGGTTGCATTGTGAATAGTATCTTCTCTACTATTTGTCTCCTCTGGGGGTTTACTGAATTAAAATGAATGTGGTTATATAATTAAAATCTAGAAGAGAAACAGAGGGAAAGAAATTTGAATGTATACTCAGGAGAGACTGGAGCTGTCTCCTGGGGAGATTTTGTAGACCTGGGTAAATATCCTACATGGCTGGGGTGGGTCAAAGGAGACCCTCCCTCTGGCAGCTGCATTGTTTTTCAGGCCAGTTTACTCCATGAACAGACACAAAGCCAGCCTTAGGGAAAATGTCTCCCTGGGCAAACTCCCTACCAGCACCTCTCCTGGTGACCATGGCCCAGCAGAGAGCAGCAGCCCTGAGTAAAAGGTGCTGGCAGTGGTACCCAGGCAGAATAGCTCCCCCTTCCGCTCAGAGCCCATTGAGGAACACTTGAGGCCCACAGCAGTGGTGCTGAGCATGCAGGCAAGCAAAAGATAGTTGGAGAGCACAGCACAGGCTCCCTAGACACTCCACCTCATCCTCTGCCGCTCCCCCACGCGTGCCAGCTGCCCGCTGCCAGCCTCACCATCACCACCGCCCTGCACTATCAGCCTGTCTTCATCCTTGTATCTTCCTTGGTGAAGGCTTTTCCTAGTGAGGTGGCTGCTGCGCACTGCCCAGGCATGGTGGTGAGGGCACCAGGAGTTGGGGAAGTGCTGTCGCTCTGCAGATGGCCGCTAGCTGCAGTGAGCCAGGCTGGGGACTGCTATGCACAAGCTCCCTGCCTCCACCGCCTCTTCCACCACTGCCACCTCCTCTCCCCTCCCCACCTGTCCATTCTTAGTGCTACTGCCACTCACCCCCACAGGTGAGAGGTTGGCAGCCAGCCAGCTCCTACTGGAGGCAGAGGGGTGAGAGGAAGCTGCCCAGCTCTAGAGGAAGGGAGGCTTGCAGCCCACAGAGACAGGAGGGAGGGGGGAGTCCTCCCTCCACTCTGCCACCTGATGCCCCCTCCATCCCTTCCCCTGAGGGTGGCCTAGCTGGCTTGGCAGCAACTGGGAGGGCCACAAGGGCTCCCTAGAGAAACAGGTGACACTGTGTGTGTGGTGCCCCCCTGACCACAGTATCCTGGGCAGTCAGTCACCCACGTTGCCCACCCCTAAAGCTTGCTCTGGACACACATAAACCAGCTTCACACAATGGAGATAATCTAATCGATAGCATACAATCTGTAAAGGTGATGCCACAGCTCATGTGCTGTGGAAAGGCATGGCTCCACAGAAGAGGCATCTGACCATAATAATACCTCCTAGGCCTTCCATTATGGAGTGCCAAGCATTTCCATAGGTAGGTGATGCAGAGGGTGAAGTGACTGGTGATTTGTAGCCGAGGCAGGAAGAGACTCGGGGATGCAGAATTATAAGGCATTTATACACATGCTTTGGGAATGGTGGGGGGCACTTTAATTAGAGTGGCTCCGAGAGCTGCTCTGATTAAAGCACCTGGAGAGTCACATGTATCAGCATCCCCACACTGAAAAATGGTGGCAGGAGTGCTTTAACTAAAATTTGTCTAACGAGCTTTAGTTAAAGTGCCCCATCACCATTTTTCAGCACAGGGAGGCTGATACATGTGACACTGGAGTCTGATGGAGCGCACTAATAACCACCCTCTGGGATACTTGATGCACTATACAGGAAACCCTCACTATTTGCAGGTTTGGTATTCATGGTTTCAAATATTCACGAATGCCAAAACCACATTTTAAATGCACTTTATACACTTACAGGAGTTCTGCACTTGCTGCCTCCGCGCTTCCACCACCATGCCCCCACCAGAGCTGCTGGAGCCGTGCCACCTCCCCAGCCGCTGTGGGCACTGTGTTCATGAACACAGACTGCGTTCATGAATGCAGTGCATTATTCATGTATTTCGCCGTTCGTGGGGGATACGAGAACATATCCCTGCGAATGGTGAGAGTCACCTGTAATTACAGTGCGTCAGAGCAGCCTCAGTGCACGTGTTTAGGCACCCATAGTGCTCTACCTGGCTTGCTGGACCATACTGCCCCCTACCTGTTCGGACCAGGCAGAACAGGCACTTTGCCCTAGTGGTGCTTCAGGTTCCGGGGGAGGTATTCAGGCTGTGAAAGTCAGTACCGGATGAGAAGGCACCGTTAGGGGGGACATGGAAGGTGTGCTGTTGCTGAAAAGCAAGCACAAAGTTCAGAGAACGGGTGGAGCAGGAGAGAAGTCTAAAGCAAATGGGGAGATTTCGGAGCTAAAGGTACAGGAAAGAAGATATCTGGGAGACATAGGGATGGCTAAGATACTTGGCAGGGAGGCTCCAGCTGCATGAGGTTGCAGGTGTAAGGGACCAGATAGACTGGGCAGTAAGGAAAGGACTACTGAGTCTGCTGCTGCCAGCTGTAGAAGAGGCAGAAATGTGCATATAACCTTATAGGCTATGCAACACTGAAGGCAAAGGACTCCACAGACCAGTGGGCTTTAGCATTTCAGGATCTTCTTCCCTACAAAGGGGCTTCCAGTGCTGACAAGTCAGTGTTTCAGGGGCTTAAAAATCTAAGAGAGACTGTATTTTCTAAACTACATTGCCAGGGAGAGTGTGTAGCTGTCTGTGCTACTGTTCCCATGCTAGTAAAGGGGGCTGTTATCCCAGGGCAGGCTGAGCTGTCTAGGGAGTTACCCTGCCCTCTACCCTCTTAGTTGCCTGCCCTCCACTGCACAGTATTACAGGGATGCTACTGTGCAGGTTTGGAAGAAGACTTGTTTATTGTAATGTACTTCAAGCCTCCAGGGGAGAGCATAAGGATATTCATCGTAGCAGTAAAAATGCAAGGGGATGCATTATTTCACGTTGCTCTGCTCTGGGGTATGATGAAAGGCACCAGGCACTTATTTGAACATCTCAGGCTTGGGAACCAGAACACCTCACTTCCAAAATCACTTTCCAGTTGACTTTACTTGTGAGAAGACAGGCAGCTGACCTCTCCCAGAAGAGTACTAAACAAAAACACCTTGACCCTACCTGGCGTCCTCTGGATTTGAGCACTGAGCTGAAGTCTTGTGTCTGTAAGATATTTGGAGTAGCACTGAAACTAGAGGAGGGAGGTGGCCCTAGTCAGCTCCCTGCAGATACCTGCCAAGTGGCTTTGTTGCAGGAAGCAGTAAACCCACTTCTCTG